TTCCTTTTATCCCCAGCTGCTTAGGAATCTGACAGGCACATGGACGTTTCCATCTTAACACACCTGTTCTTTCCCCTCCTTGGTTCCTCATTTACAAATTCTGCATCACAACTTTTGCTGTATTAACTACTTCCCTTAGAAGTCTTCTCTCTTTTTTTAAGAATTATGTACTTAGTTTTATTTATTATTTATTTTTAATATGACATAGAGAGAGAGGGGGAGAGAGGGAAAGTGAGAAAGCAAGCCAACAGGTCCAGGACTCGAACTGTTGTCAGCCACATGGGAGTGTCCAGTGCCTTAACCACCATGCCACCTGTTGATCCCCTGGAAGTCTTCTTTAAAAAACTTTAGAAAAATGTATTATTAAATTACGTTCTATTAGAATACACTAGCTCAGACAAGGATGAAATAAGTCTGAGCAATACTCCCTCTCCTAAGAATGTTTATAACTGAGAACCAGCCCGTCTCCACCCGCTCCCAGAGGAAGTGCTGAGCCAGTATTTAAAAAAAGGCTCTCAGTGGCTTGAGAATTTAAGTGCAGAAAGTTATTTGAGTCTTGTCTGTGTAAAGGGCTCCTGTCACTCAACATACTGCCATCTTTTAATCATAACTTCGGACTATAGAAAATTGTTATAAGAAAAAAAGGGGCTTTCTTTCCAGGTAATAGATCAAGGAGGCAGGACCTCTGCAGGAAACTACTAGCATCATATTAAACAACAACCACCATAACACACATCACCCCGGTCCCAAGGATCATTAACTAGACTGTTAGTGGCCTCCATTCCTATGCTGGTAACATAATTACTTGTAAGCACCGCTTAGCCAAGAGCACTGGATCCAGAACGTGCAGTAATAGGGACGGGAAAGGAGGACAGGAATGGATACAGCGTTATTTCTTGAAAGGTCTCCTCCCAGTCTTGATGCATTGCAACATTCATTTCTACCTCATCTGCCCACTAAAATATCAACCAATAAGAATAATAAACTATAAACTATTTGACTTATCCAGTATCTTAAAGCATCACAAAGGATAAATCCTGAGAAAAAATGATTGACTGTGTCTCAAAAATACGAGGGGGAAAAAAACTCAATATTTACAAAATTTTATTAACTTGCCATTTTTATTATCTTGTACTTTTACGGTGCCAATCGTAATATTCAACTTGTTCAAGGTAAGCGAGGTATTTGTTTTCTCAGCCTAAAAGCTATGTATACTCTTACAACTTGTAAACCTATGAGGTAGCACACGAACACAGTACTCATGATACCCTACGAGAGATAGCATCACTTTGTGTGGAAGGTAAAATAAAGGACCATGATGTCCGTGTTCAAAGTATTGGTTATTTATTTATTTATTTATTTTTTTGGAGATATTTTTGCTATAGGGTGCCAGAAAGACAGAGAGACAGAGACATAGAAAAGCGAGAAGTCACCCCCCAGGGTGGGATGGCCATGCCATAATCCTTTCTCCTCCATTCTCCTC